GAAACTGATGATGTGCCCTGTAAACTTTCACTCAATCCACAATAAAAACCTTAAATTAAAAAAAAAAGCTAAAGTGGATAGAGAGAAATACTTTTAACTGATGGTATATGGAGGGGATTATAATCATTTTAATGAAACAAGTTACATGAATTGTTGAATGTGAAACTGATGATGTGCCCTATAAACTTTCACTCAATCCACAATAAATACCTTTAAAAAAATTATTTAAAGAGGAAACAAACAAACAAACAAAAAGATGCTTGGTTGTCTTTTGAATCTCAGTTTCCCTTGCATAATACTGTAAAATAAACACTTGAGGGGGAGAGAAAGGAATAGCCAGAAACATCACTATAGAAAGCTTTCAAGTCCATCTTCAGCCTATAACTGATTGTGGTGGTGGTTATGTGCCATGGAGTTGGTTCTGACTCATAGCAACCATGTACAGGGTTTCTGAGGCTGTAAATCTTTACAGGAGCAGAAAGTCTCATTTTTCTCCCATGGAGCAGCTGGTAGTTTCGGACTGCTGACCTTGCAGTTTGTAGCCCGATTCGTAACCACTTCGCTACCAGAGCTCCTTTATAACTGATTGGAATAGCTAAAATGGGGCTAGAATTTGCCCAGGGAAGGAGGCTTCCTGTGGAGCCTTTGCATTGCATAAGACCATAGGTAGAATCCAGATCCCCATCCAGAATGTTCTGAAGTAGCAAATTTCCACTTGAAAGGAAAAGCAGACCAGCCTGGAGCTGCTAGAAGAACAGAAGATACTTCTTGAAAGAAGGACCAGCAGGAAAAAATTAAAAACATTAACAGCAGTCCTATTGACTACTATAAGAACAAGCAAGTTGTTCACCAGGGATCCATCAGGGCAAGCAATCGGGTCCCTTCAGGGCAAACCCCCTTCCAAGACTGAGATTCAAGGGGAATACACAAGCAGGCATGTGGTCTGGCTGGTGACCATGTTGGTCTACCAATAAGGGGAAGTGAGGAAAAAACAGCAATGAAGTTTTGAGCTAAGTCCGACTTCATTCAACAGACTTCTGTCCACCTGTATTGAGACCTGGTTGACCAGCAGTATGGCAAGACTTGGGGACTCCTGGATCCAGGGACAGGGACATGGCCACAGAGGACTAGAGTGGAGAGTGAAGCACCCAGCTGATATCAAGTGAGGGGTGATGCACAAGAACACCAATACTTGCAAATAGCACCCATTTGACCTGACTTCAATGGCTGGATGATCAAAACTCGACTAGAAGAAATAAGAGAGCAAAAAGAGTAATCTGCTACAATTTGATGAACTTGACCTATACTTATGGATGTAGTAGCTCAAAAGAGGAAACAAATCTTTACAGCGAAGATCATTCCCACCCCCTCAGTACATAGCGTTGACAGGGATGGGCAACTTAGACATTGGCTACCCAAAAGTGGGCGGGGCTACAAAGGCATGAAGTGACTGGCTTACAAGCTTTCAAGAGGCAGCCTAGTTTCAGAGGGTACGGGGGAAGGTACAATCTCCACTGAGTAGTTTCCAGCCTGTCTGGACAGGGCTGGTAAAAGGAGATGGGGAAAAGACTCTTGTGGTTTAATAGTGAAAAATTGCTATTAGGACTAATTGTGAATGTTGCAAATGTAACAGTAGACATTCTGTAACAAAAGGAGGGGAGTGGTTGATCTTGCAGTCCAGGAGCAGAGGACCCAGGGACCATCAAGGGAGAAGAGCTGAGTGTGGGACCCTATCCAGAAAAGCAGTGACACCAGAGATGGAGGCAGAGACAATGACATGGCGAGATGGAGTGACTGGGGACTCTGAACTCAGGGAGGGAGAGGGGCTGTGTTCTGATGGCTGGGGAGCAGGCTTGTGGGTGTACCCTTTGGTTGTTTAAATGGTTGTATATTCCTGAGTGCTTCAGTGCACATCCAAAAAAAACCCAGAGGGAATGGAAGCAAATGCTGTGGAATGATGATGCATGAAGAGGATTGTAATCATTGCAATGAAATGAAATACAATAGGATGAATGTAAAGCTGATGTTCTCCCATGTAAACTATCACATAATTCACAATAAATACTTAAGAAAAAAAGAATAATTCTGTCTAGGTATTTTGTAGAATGTCCCTCAATCTGGGTTTGGGGAAAATCATCTCATCAGTCATTTTGTTGTTGTTGCGATGTGCCATCAAGTCGGTTCCAACTCATAGTGATCCATGTACAACAAAATTAAATACCACCCAGCCTTGTATCAGTCCCCACAGGCAGTCATATTAGGAAGTGCATAATAACAACACTGATGATGTTACCCTGGATCACTTGCTTAAGGTATTGCCAGGTTTCTCCACAATAAAGTCATTGTTTATCACTTTATTATTTGGAAGTGAGTCACTAGGTCTATTCCACCTTCAAGAAGAGAATAGGGAGGCAAGAATTAAGCTCCATGTCCTAGAAATGGGAATGCTGTTAGTTCCCTTCAAGTTTATTTCCATTTATGGGAGTATCTGCATATATTATTTAGTATTCTTCAGTAATCTATTCATATTCTACTTTTATCAGCATAGACTTAAGTATATTTATTTTATACTTGGGGTAATAAGGCTATACTTTGTTCCAGCTTTGGGAAATACTTAACAAGGATTTTTAAAAAGGATTGTCACAATGCTCTGAATAAACTGAAACAACAATAAACTTCATATTTCACTACAAATTATTTTTAACTTTCCCAACATTCTAGGAAATGATTGCCCCATCATTTCTACTGTACCGTATGTTCATGTCTATTCTAATGTTGCTGTTGTTGGGGGTTTTTTGCAGTTACAATCCCAGTATTCCAAGGCGGAGAGTGATGAATCTGACCAAGATGGTGCTGGTGCTGGTGGCTGTATTTATTCTGAGTGCTGCTCCCTATCATGTGATACAACTGGTGAACTTGCAGATGAAGCAGCCCACTCTGGCCTTCTATGTGGGCTATTACCTCTCCATCTGTCTTAGCTATACCAGCAGCAGCATTAACCCTTTCCTCTACATCCTGTTGAGTGGAAATTTCCGAAAGCGCCTGCCTCAGATTCAAAGGAAGGTGACTGAGAGGAAAATCAACGATATGGAAAATACTCTGAAATCAAGCTTTTAGGAGAACATGTGGATCACTGAGAGTCTAGATAGGCTTGTCTTTGTTATTGGAATTATTAGAAAAGCAGATAAGATAGTGTGTGTGTGCCATTATTCTTGTGTACTTGTGACTCATAGCATCATGGAACAGAATTGTAACCAGCCATTCCAATGCAATGAGTTTAATGCTAACTTTATTAAGATGTAAAATGTTGATCTGTATTGGGAGTAGGGAAAGGAATAGTCTAATATATCTGAACCCCACTGTTGTAGATGTTATTTGAACATTTTACTCACTAATCAAAATATCTGTCCATGACCACCTACTGGAAACTCACCAAAGAACCTACAACTACTGACCTTTGCTGTCCACACTGTGGCCTCACTTTAACAGGGCCCTTCATAGTTTGAAGAGAAGACCATCTTACAGTGTGCTCTGATATCAAGTTATTTTTGACCCACAAAAATGTCAGTTTTATATGGTCCAATCTAATGCTTTCAATAACCAATCCCCACCCTTCAGCATAAGTCACAGTCTACCACACACATGTAATGTGTAAGTGTACATGTAGTAAACTGTGAAGTAAGCGCTATTACTTAGGTTTAGTAAGTTACCAGTTAAACAATAGACCCAAAGATGCACAACTATAGAGTAGCTGGGATGAACCCAGATCTTCCTATTATTTTTCTTTTTCATGCACCACAGTGTCAATCTGTACCTAACATCCTGGAGAATGCCAGAAACTTTGGAGTGTCTTCTGTGTTCTGCAACCCCACAAGAAAAGAACTAAAGTCTGAAATAAATGAATTGATGGTTTAAGTATATTCTTTTGGATTTAGCTTTGTTCTCATACTTACTAACTGGAGAAACCAGCACTTACATATTGATAATAGTATTCTTCACTTAGGATATCATACATACACTTAACATATATTATCTTTAGGCTACAGAGTCTGTTCAGGGGTTTGAAAAGTAAATAGTCCTCCAATTCAATATACTCATTATATCCATCTTTTCCTCTTTACTTGTATAAAATATGCACTTTCATATAGTTTAAGGAAAGATTAAAAACTGATTTTGAAAGACTAATTCTCAACAAAGGCATTCATTCTTTTTGTTGTTTGTGAATAAAATCTATAAACAGGTATTCTTCCTCTAAATATATAAAATTACTTGTTCTGTGTCCATCTGAGCCTGATGTTTAAATCATCCCTTTTTAAGGAAAGAGTCACAGAAACCATCTTTTAAAATAACCTGATCTCCCTTTTATTCTATATTTGAATCAATTTTTTTAATCAAAAGAGTGAGTCTTAACGCATATATTTCTAGATATTTTAAATACTGCTTTGTTGTTGTTGTTAAGTGCCATCGAGTTGGTTCCGACCCATAGCAGCCCTGGATAGGGTTTCTGAGGAGCAGCTGGTGAGCTTGAACTGCCAACCTTGCTGTTCAAACGGCTTTGCAGTCTGGCGCATTAACCCACAATGCCACACCAGGACTAAATACTGCTTTAGCACAAGATAATATCTAAATGAGCGGGTGTAAAAACAATGTAAAAACTACAGTCTCAAACAGGTGACATAGGAGATACTTTCGTTCTGTTGTTGAGTCTGGAAAGCTATACTCAGCAGCTGTGTGATTCTTTATTGGTGGTGGTTATGTGCTGTGGAGTTGGTTCTGACTCATAGTGACCCTGTATAGGATTTACAAGGCTGTAACAAATCTTTTTAAAGAATTTTTATTTATTTTTATTATTGGGAATTGAGTGAAGGCTTGCATAGCAGAATATCAGTTGTACATTCAACAAATCCTATACTTTTCTTCATTACATGGTTGCAATCCTTCCATGTACCAACAGTTAACAGCTTTTACCTCTAATCACTTTAACTACTGCATTCCTCCCTGTGTCTCCCACACCCCCACTTTTCCTCTGCCAACCTCCTTCAGGTTGTATAGTGTCTCTCCCGTCACCCATGTCAATGCTTTCTACCCTCTAGTGCATGTATCATTTCCTCCTCCCCCCAAAACCATCATAGATTGTTTCTTTTATCAAGAAAAACCCCTCTTTTAATTTTTTTTAAACACGCAAAATGGGGGGAAAAAAAGGCACATAGGAATATATAATCATTTAAACAACCACAGGGCACATTCTGGAAGCCAGCCTCCTGGCTGCCAGCACACAGCCTTTCTCTTTCCATGAATCTAGAGACCTCAGCTGTTCAATCTCTCCATGCCAGAACCTTTGCCTCCATCTCTGGTGTTGCTGCTTCTCTGGATAGGGTCCCATCTTATGCTCATGCTCTTCTCTCTTGATGGTCCTAGGGTCCTCTGTTCCTGAAATGTAAAATTAACTACTTGCCCCATTTTGTTGCACAACATCTACCTTTACAGTTGTGATCACCACAATTAGGTATGATAACAATTACTGTTGAATCAAATGAATCCTATCACCATCTTCTTTCACCAGACCCATGTAGACAAGAGGAAAACTATTCAGTGGGGATTCTACCTTCCCAACTGCACACTCTGAAACTAAACTCCCTCTTGAAAACTTGTAAGCCAGCTCCCCACCCCCCATTTTGGAGTCCTAGTATGGCACTGTGGGTTAATGCTCCTTGGAAACCCTATATAGGGTCGCCATGGGTCAGAATTGACTCGACAGTACATAACAACAACAACAACCTCCCATTTTAGGTACCTAATGTCTAAGTTGCCCGTCCCTATCAACCTTGAGTACAGAGGGGATAGGTTTGATCCTTGATGTGAGGTTGTAAATCTTTACAGGAGCAGAAAGCCTCATCTTTCTCCCACAAAACAGCTGGTAGTTTTGAACTACTGACCTTGAGGTTAGCAGCCCAACTTGCAACCACTATGCTACCACAGCTCCTCATGATCCTTTCTAGTTGCCATCAAAAGATACAAATCCACAACTCTCCATTCTCACGTCTATAGGGTGTAGTGGTCAAGGTTCAAGGCAGTAGCACTAACATCTGAAGATCCCACACAAATTATCATAAACAGATGTTATAGTTTAATAATCAATAAATAATAGTTTGCTTCTATTATCTTTTTTAACAGAAAATATTATGATTTTGAATATTTAAATTATTTCAAACCAACAATGTTTTTCTAATAGGATTTCCAATGGGCTTCAAATAATTCCAGGATACAAATTAGTCAATGAATTATTTTAATTTATATTTTAAGACTCATGAAGAGCTTTAGCATTTAATCAAAGTGCTAAATAAAAAAGATAACTATTAAATTCATTTTTATTCTGTATATAACTTTTCTAAGCAAAAGCAGTTTTATATGCAGAAGTGGTTTGACAAACATTCTCTGTGTTTTTGACTTTTGTCCATGTTGTAGATATATGTTTATTTTCAAGTGAAGTTAATAATGATAAGTTTCACATAACTAATATGTGAGTGTTTGTTATTATACAAAATCATGATTGCATCTGTTCTCTATGCTCTTAATTTGAGCTATTTGTTTAAACTTTGATCACTGATTTATATAAATCAATGAGTGAAAACTGTTTGTGTATTAATTGATAGCCTTGTAGCTTCTACTTCTAAAGTGTTCTTATACAAATAATTTCAGATTTTCTTAGCAGAAAAAGTTTCTTTTGCACAAACAACAAAGATTTCAGAATTAGTAAAGTGTGTCCTAAGAACAGCAATAGTAGAAAGAAACTTATCATCCAAATTCTCAGAAATTTAGGCACTAACCTTATTCTTGAAGTGTCAGAAAGTTCTGCTTTTCATAGGTCAGAGAGTCATGGCACTGTGGATCTGAAAGATACTTTAGAATTAAAGTATTAAGTGTTACAGCTAAGAAAAAGGAATCCCAGATACATTAAATTATTTTTAACGCATTTCAGTATGTGACCAACATAGAATGAATACCTAGAAAACAGCATTGAGTTCTTTTCACTGAATCCTAATTTCTCTGTGAAACAGTTGGAAAAATCTGGTAGGAAGATTACTATTGACACTGCTTGCAGCAAATTCCTGAAAGCTTAGTTCAGTGATTAAAAGCTATAGAGTTTGCACACACACACACACACACACACAATTGACTTCGTAACTGGAATTCTGGTCAGGAGTGCAGAGATTAATGTTTCATTGACTTCACAAAGGTCTTTGGAATCAGATCAAAGCAAAATAGAGAAATTAATATTTTCTTTCATTGCTCCCAATTTTTGTTCATACCTCACTATACCAAAAATTAGTTCATTCTCCCTCACCTGAGGCCAAAAACAGAATTATAGTTATGACTCCTTTTTTATTTCACCCACACAGGTATAGTAGAATTTGTGATACACTGAATGATTCCCACCAAAGATATTTATATCTTAATCCACAGAACCTGTGAATGTTACCCTACATGGCTAGGGACTTCATAAATATCATTAAATCAAAGATCTTGCAATGGGTAGATTATCCTGGGTTATCTGGGTGAACCCAATGTAGGAAGGGTGAATCCAAAATATGACAACAGAAGACATTTGATAAAAGCAGGAAATGTGACAACAGAAGCAAGAAATTGGTGTGATGTAAGAAATACAGGCAGCCTCCAGAAGCTAGATACATTAAAGAAACAGATTCTCCTCTAGAGTTTCCAGAACTATTATAGAATAAATGTATGCTGTTTTAAGCCAGCAATTTTGTGGTCATTTGTTATACGAACTACAGGAAACTAATACAGTATCAAATGCTTTGTTAGCCCTTTTCCAGTTGGCTCAGCTACAGCTGTAAACCATTCAAAAAACCATTCAAAAGCTACATCTGTAAACCATTAAAACAAAACCATTCATGTTTTGGTTTCCATTGTTTGTACATTTATAATTTAGCACAAATTGCCAGAGCACTTTACTTTTAAGGCTTTATGGTGAACTCGACTGCAAAGTTTTAAGTGCTTAAAACATTATCTCTATCTCAAAAACTGAAAATCTAATGTCTGTTGTACATTACCTCTACTCTCTTGCATGTACCATAGAACAGTGTTTTCTCAGTTCTAAGATAAAATGGATTATAAAATGCACTACTAATTTAGTAACTGCTTTTGGGGAAACACAAATATAGTGTTAAATATACATAATGTTAGATGCACCCTAATTTCAGAAACATTAATATGGAAAAATGCACATCACAGAATTAAGAAAAAAACTATGAATTTTTTCTAAGATTA